GATCATATATTTAATTGTTGTAGTTGATCATCTTCCTTTTGTTCACCTCTGGGTCATCTCTAGGTGGTCTATGTACTTACTGAAGTTCACTGCCCAGAATATAATTTCATACTTGAGTCTGGACTTCCTACTGCTGCAGAGTAACAGAACATGTTATGTTCATTCCCATACAACATGCCTGTTTATTCACAGTATTTCTCTTTCTTTGCAGCCATATGTTATTGCTGACATTCCTTTTTAACTGCTCAACTTTCTTCTGCAGAGAATTTTTCAAAGTAATACAGTCAACAAAGTAAGAAATCAGTTCATGAAGAACAGAAGAAAGAATCTAAAATTATATTAAGTCCAGTGCAACAAAGCCAGTAAAGCTTCAGTTATCAAGGGAGGAGTTTGTGAGAAAGTCTGTAAATTCCATTTCATGCTGCTATAAAGATGTGTACTGTGCCTCTGCTTGAACACTGACTCTCAGCTTGGATGAGACCAGTAAACAGAAATTTTCAAACCAGCATTTACCTGTAAGTATAAAACACCTGAAACAACTGAGCACAGACAACTGTGTTACTTATGAATTAGCTGTCTGCTAAACTGGTGGAGGTTTAACAGGCTTGGGAATTACAGGAAGACTGATAGCTTGAAAAGTGGAACATATTCCAAGTAATAAAATGTAAAAGAGAGAGGAAAAAAAGAGGGAGAGAAACAGGGAAGGAACTGAGATGAAAGCCAGTGGTGATCAAAGGTGTGACCGGATGCTGTTTTGCATAATACCAAGTGAGAGAAGAACTAAGAGAGCAGTGGACAGGTCAGTTACTATGTAAGACCAGATTCAAACCTTGACTATGGTGCAGCTTTTATTGCTATTAAGTCGTTGCTATACCAGATACACGTGCCAAAAGCATAATCTCTTACCAGACTGGTATCCTTCTGTTGAATCAAAGCTCAAAGAACACATCTCAGCATCAGAAGCTCAATGAAGGACATCCCAAGCCTAAAAGAAAACCTCTGGCATCAGAGAGTGGGTTTGGTAGTCTCTTGAAAAGAAGACACATCTTAGACATAGGAAGCAGGTAGGTAAATGCAGTAGTGTGATTTAAGAAAAGACTTCATGTGCGAAAGCACGGTAACACATATACAAAATATTAAAGACTACTAGTATGTGCACATACTTGACATGTACATTTGTTAAGAACACGCATGAATTGTGTATAAGATCCTGATCAGATGCAATATACCTATGTTGTGTGCTTCTTTTTTTATTTTTCTTCTTTTAGTTCTTTTCCTCTCTTTCTTTTTTAGCCCCATATGCTCTGGGTGTTTCCCCTAAGGAATGTTTTTGTGCAATTGTTCTGTTAGCAATAGATGAGGCCTTCATCTACAACTGCGTGGAGCAACAGTGCCAGAGAGTGGCTGGCTGGGATAAATGCAGCTGGATTTGCCTTGTAGTTAAGCCTTCGGGACTAATAATAAGCAGACAAAAGAAGACAAAATAAGAATAATAGAATATGCTGACCTGGAAGGGAACCACAAAGATCATCAAAGTCCAGCTCCTGGTCCAGTGGTTGATCTCCTGCTTGCTCGTGCTTCTATTTACAGATCTGTACAGGCTGTAAGCTGTTCCCATACTGTGGAGATTGCTCCTCCTGCTTGGGCAGAGTTCCCTGTTTGTGAAACCCTATAAGCCCCAGGTCAGACAAGCAGCACTGTATCCCTTGTGGCACACCCTGGAATGAATGGGACCCATGCCTGGGCCAGTAGCTCTGATTCCCATCACCCTGAGTTTTTAAAGAGGTGCACGCCAGAGTTGCCCTTGAGTACCTGCACCTGATAGTTCCCTCCTGTTGACTCAGCTTTCACAGGTGGCTTCTGAAGGTCACTTGGATTCTGCTCCCTAGGTGAAGGAAAAGGCTCTCCAGTTGGAGTGGGGGCAAGTGCATTTGTGATGGATTGGGAAAGCTGAAGCTCAGTAGATCTTCGAAATATTTTACCACAGGAACCGCTTTGTCAAAAGGCTGTGGGGAGGTGTGGGACAGGTGTAGGGACCAGCAGCAGTGTGTGTAGGTGACTTTTCCTTTGGCAGGTTTCGAAGGTGTGGATGTTGAGCTTTGTCAGCAGAAAGTCAGTGTAGGAGAAACTGAATTACTGAATTTTTAATTGACTATATCCCCTGCTATGCCAATTGTTTTGGATGAGTAATAAATAAGAATTGTGTACTAGAAGACCATTCAGCAAATTATTTCAACCCGCATCTACCAATGCTTTTCTATTTAGGAATATTACCTTGCATCCAGAAATACTTTTAGCGTTATTAATGTGGTATTTATTTACAATAATTTAACAAGCTTTATATATTTTGCACATAATCAGGTGAATTTCTGAATACTAATCTGAGAATTAAGCATTTTAATATTCTCCCGAGTTTTTATCTTAGATCACAGAATTATTAAGCTTCATTAAGTCTTCTTATCCTCAGCCTAAGTTTTCAGGAATAGTCAAACTGTTGTTTGAAGATAAGAAAGTATATCATTTTCCACCAGTCCAGGATTTCAAATCAATTAGCTGAAAATAACAGCAGAATAAGGGTCAAAAATACAGGAAATTTTGCCCTCTAAACGATGCTGCAACCTAGTCTAGTTACTGTTATTGAAACTTCTTGGGTTTGCATAAAGAATACTCGCTAGTTTGCAGAAACAAGTGGTGTGGCAGTCGCTGAGGAGATGGAGACAATGTGAGCTGTATTCCCATATCCAGGGGGTTTGTGCCAAAACAGGCGCGGGAAGTCTGCAGGGGAGACGTGGGACAACAAATAGTTGTGATGCGGAGCCCATCCCTCCTCCTAATCTCCCCGGCCAGTGAATACCCAGTTCCTGCTCGTAGCCTCACACGCCGGGGAGGCTCCCACGCCGGATTTGTGCTCGGGGGGAAGGGAAGCCGCAGGATGGCGCTGTGAGCCCGCGGGACCGGCCGGAGCCTCCCGGGACCGGGGCCGCGGCGCCTCCGCAGGGCCGGGGCAGCGCTCCGGGCAGATCTCAGGGCACATCCCCGGGGCAGGGCACCGGGCAGATGGGGCAGTGCTCCGAACAGATCTCCGGGGCACATCCCCGGGGCAGGGCACCGGGCAGATCTCCGGGGCACATCCCCGGGACAGCGCATCCCCGCGTCACCCGCCCCTGCCGCCCTCGGCATCGCCCGGCCCTGCCGCCCGCTTCGTTCCGCCCTGCAGGGAAGATCTTTGTGTATCCCTCTCCCCCGCGACTCTCGTCAGGGACACTTCGTTTCCAAAAAGTTTCACAAACCGAAAAAAAGATTCACGGGTGGCGGGGGTGGTGGGGCTGTATCGTGAATGACGTTTTGGTGTTGGTCGAAGAATTTGGCAGGCAGCTGTGGGTGAAGTTATGGGGCTGTTGGAGATATGATTCTGCAAAAGAGAAACACAAAATTTAAGTCTTATGGAATATTTTGAGTTGGAAGGGTCCCACAAGGATCTTCAAAATCCATCCCACGGACCTGCACAGGACAGCCCCGAGAATCACATCATGTGCCTGGGATTCCTGTGATTCTGAGAAACATGGCCTCATCTTTCAAAAAATTGGTTAAAAAATAATGGGGATGAAGAACACAATAATCCTTATGTTGGGTCAGGGAAAAAAAAAAAGAATAAATGTCATTTAAATACAAGGAGATGAATGTGAAGGGAAGACTCGGCATTTTTTAAGGACAAATTATCTGTAGTTGAGTACTGATGACAGTGTAAGCAAGTGGACTGGAGGAGAGCTGGCTGCCTCCGGGAGCCGGAGTGCTGATTATTAAAGAATGAAACTGAGGAATGCGGGGGGAAAGAGCCAAACCGATCCACAGCAGAGGAATCGGAGCTGCCGATGGAGTGGGAAGCCTCGGCCGCCTTCGTCGCTACTGGGGGACTTGTTGTGAGCCCCCCTTGCCCAGCACGGCCCTTCTGTGTCTGGGTTCGCTTCCCTTCCCCTCCCAGGGACTGGCTTCAGGTCTCCGCACGATGCCTGGAGAGGACCCTGCTCCTGTGGGCTGAGTGGGTGATGACAAGGTGCGGGCAGCCTTTGCTGTGGGAGTCTGAACATGACCTGCGATTTCACACTGCACCTCTTCAACCACGGCAGCCTGGCTGGCCTTTAAAAAATCCTTTGTTTTCTCCGTCAGGAGAGATACTTTACGATGAAGTTCTACGTTCAGCCTCTTTTGCTTGCTTGTCACTGCCTGCTTTCCTTTCAGGCTTTCCTGGTGTGTGTTTAGCCGATTCTCTTTGAGAGATGCCTAGAGCCATCTGTGCTGACTGTTGCTACACGTATATGAATGTGTGTAGGGGAGGGCAGAGGTGCACGAGTTTTTCCGTATCTGTGTAACTCCCTGCAGCCCACAGACTTGTATCGGAGTGCTATTTAAGCGTGCAGATGCATGCAGATCTGTGCCTCCGGACAGGCACACATTGTCTAGTAGACTGGAACAGATAATTCCACAGAATGCAGGAATAAACAGAGCAGCTCAGAAATCAGTGAGGAAGAAAAATAGAAAAAACGGAGAGAAAGAAATGAAAGGGAAAAAAAAATCCCAAAAACCAGAAAGAAAAGGAAGCCTCGCTTCATTGTTAGTGTCTGAACACAATGTGAGGTTTTGTCCCGCCGATTAATCTCTCTAGAAGCAGCAAACTGACTATCCTAAGCTAGTGTTACAAGCTAAGTGTATCTGTTTCTCAAAGGAAGAAGCATATCTCTTATTGAGGAAAATTATATCAAATTTGGTGGCAGGCATTAGTGTCCAGCAGGGTCAAACGGCCGAAGAAGTAGTCTGGACACATGTTGCTTTTTAGGATACAGCTGCCAGCAAGTGGGGATTAACGCCTGCCTCTGTTTGTTTAGAAAGGAGAGGGAAAAAAAAAAAAAAGAAGAAGAAAAAAATAGAAAAGTTTAACAGTTCCTTTTGTAAAGTCTGTACATTGCAAATCCAGCCGCGTTAGCATACTAAAGGAAATGAAAAAATGCTTCGGTTTGAGAGGACGACTCCTTTATTTCCCTTATTGGATATGTTTCATGTGTTTTCCCCAACACTTCGGCTTAAGGACATGCCTTTTGAAACACAAACACACGCACAGCTCGCACACGCACACACAGATAAGATATGTATTAGATCCTGACACATGCGGGGTGGAGGGAAGAGCGGGGGAGAGAGAGAGAGAGAGAGAGAGAGAAAGAGAAAGAGAGATCCTCCTACCTGGAGCCATAGATTGCAAGATACGTAGTGTTACCTGAGGAAGTCAGAACAAGTAAAAACAGATTGAACTTCAGGGCTCTATGAGGCAGTTGATCAAGATCAGTGCTTGCTCATTCTCTCCCTCAGACTGTCTGTCTTGGGGTTTTGTTTTACTGTTTTGAGCAGCCCTTTCCGTTTTTTTCTTCCTCTTTAGCTTTAATATCGAAGCCGGTTTCGGTCACCATGGCTCTGGGAAGAGCTGCCTGTCTGCGCGGAGTTGACTTTTTACAGCTCGGCCGGCTTTGCTCCTGGGTAGCTTCAGCAATGCTCTTGACTGGGATTTAATCGACAAGATCAGTTCGGCTTTTTGTGCAATTTTTATGGCTCAGTCCATTTTCTAGATCATGCACAGAAACTTTCGGAAGTGGATTTTCTACGTGTTTCTATGCTTTGGAGTCATCTATGTCAAGTTAGGGTAAGTCCTTCTGCACGACAAATCTCCTTGGCTTTTGGGTCACGTTAGTGCGGAGTTGGGAGCAAAATACTGCAGAGGAGGGGGGGGAAAAAAAAGGAAAAGAAAAGATATGATTATTTCTCTCTCCGCCTGCGGGTGTCCAAGCGCCGGCAGCCCCCCGAAGCACGGCCGTCTCCCCCGGTCCCGGGCCGTGCCCGGCGGCGGGGCGCTCCGCCCGCCCCGAGCCTGCGGGGAGCCGCTCGCGGGTGATGACGGATCCTTTTATTTTCTACTGCTTAAGCGAACTTAAATATTATCTCTGGCTTACAGTACCCTCAGAGGAAAGAAAAAAAAAAAAAGGAAAAAGAAAAGGCAGCCTGACAGAGTTAACTCAGGCGCTGCTGCTGGGACAATAGAGCAGAGCTGAGGTATTAGGCGAAAGGGGCGGGAGGAGGGGAATCCCTGCTCTGAACCTGCGCTCAGGGATTTGGTTTATGCAGGCCTAGACACAATTTGCGTTTCTATCCATCACACAGACGTGTTGAAATTAACTTGACAACTGGTCCGGCTACCTCTGCTCTGGTGCTCCCGGGAAGCCAAGCGGGCTCAGGCGAAGGGACCGGCCCGGGGCCCCGGAGGGTGCGGCAGGGGCTCCGGGGAGCCCGCTGTTTGCTCCTCGCTGTTTGATCACCGCAATCGAGTGCATGCGGTTATTTTGGTTGCCAAGTTTCGCCCTCTTTCCCTCTGTCTCTCCCCCCAGTGCCTGTATGCCCTTATTAATATTGCTCGTCGCAGTAGGCTGACTTGAGTTGAATTTCCACATTCCTGAGCCCCAGCCGAGTCCTTACCTGTCGAACTACAAACCCTTTAAAGATCCTGTCTTTGCGGGATTTTTAATGCCTTTTTTTTTTTTTTTTTTAATGATCAAGAATACATAAGGTGAGTTGTTGCAATCCAAACCCGCTCACTTCCCACCTTGAAATCAATACGTGGAAGGCAAAGGGCAGCTCCCAAAGGCAAGAGAACGGGCAGGCTGGAGCCCGGCCGGGCCAGCAGAGCGGGAGGGCGGCGGGGAGCGAGGCATTTCCAGGGTGCCGGCGGGACCCGCAGGCTGCTTCCCGGAGGGCTCCCAGCGGGTTGCTCGGCGGGCCACCAGCCGGCTCGCATCCCTTTGTGTATTTGCTTATTTAGGTGTTTTTGGCACGGCTCTCGGCCCGCCCCTGCGGCCGCAGGTGCCGCCGCGGGGGCCGGCGGAGCAGGGCGCTGCCCCGCAGCGACCCGCGGAGGATGCGCGGGTGCGGAAGGGGCACGGCCTGGGCGCTGCCCCCTGCCCTGCCGGTGGGGAGCCCTCGTCTGCCCCTGCCCCGGCTGAGCCACTCCAAATCCTGCCTGCTGGAGACAGGTCCTTTCGGTGCTCCAACCTTTGCGCCGCCCTTTGTCATCGCCGGGGGCGGCAGCGATGGGCTCTGTCCCCCTCTAGGCTCGTATTGCCGGGTGTAGTGAGTTTGCTGAGGCTGTATATCCACAAATGAAGCGATGACAGGGTACCCAATCTACTTCAGTAGTGCGAGGACTTTGTACAGCACGCCACTCACAGAGAGGTAGGCGAGCTCAAGGAAATCGCTTTGCAAAATGAGGGCAATGGTACAGCTCTTGCTTTCGCTGCGACCGAAGGGAACAGAGGATTGTTGCCTCTGGAAGGCAGATCTGTCTTCGAAATTGATTTTGGCTGTTTTAGAAGGGGATTCAGAGCAAAAATCACAAGAATGCTGTTGGACTGAGCCTGGCAGTGAAACTGAGTGGACATCAGGAACAGTAAAAGCCTTTGCAGAAGCCCTATCAGATCCATCACCATGCCTGTAAGGCGATGAGGATACTTCACTTTCTCTGAACAATAGGAGAGAAATTTGCTCTGAGATCCAGGGCTACTTCTAGGCTAGGCATGTGGGGTGCAATTATTTCCTCTTTCATCAGCCACTGGAACTACCATTTTGTTGAAACCATATCCTTTGGGTGCAATGATGCCTTTTCTGGTGAGCTCTTTGCTTTGAAAAGGGGGAGGTGAAGGTGGATAAAATGTCTTCCAGGGCATTCGCTTGATTTTCAGCGGGAAGGAGAGAGCCGTCGTGTCAACCACGGCAAGGAGGGGAGTCTTAGCAGGGTTTTTTTTGGTTTTGTTTTTTGTGGATTCTTGTTGATTTTTTTTTTCCTGCTGAGAGTACGTCTTCGTGTCTTAATAAAACGTGCTAAAAGCTTCACTTTCGGTGGCAAAAATGACGCCGAGGGGAGAGAAAGTAACGCGATACATAAGCTGTTGGGCGGGCCGGGGTGTTGCATGGAGTGACATGGCAGGATTCCATAAAGAAGCCACTATCTCCTCCAGCTAGGAGGAGAGAGCAGGTCCCACTAAAGTCCTTCCTCTAGGGGATCTTCTGTCGTTCCTGTTTCTATTTCCGGTCCCCCGGATTGCTGGAGGAACAGGGGCGAGGTGAAGCATCCCTTAACATTTCTGTCGATGACGTTTCCAGGCACCGAAGCATTGAGTATCTGCAGCCTTGCTGACTTCATGTAACCCCCCACGACAACAGGTCACATCAAATATTGACCTCAGGCAGGATTGAAACAGAAATATTTCCTGCCAAGATCACAGAGCATTGGGATACCGTTTTAATTATTAAATACGTCAGAAATTTAAAATTACAGCAGTACTACAGATGCGAATGACAGCGGAAGCTCTGGGTATGAGTGATGTGTATTTTGGAAAGATGAAGTCGTGGGCAATACCCAGATCGGAGATCTGGGGGCAAACCCCACCTTTTTCCTCTTTATTCTGGAGGAAAAGAAAGGGTAACAGCCGGGCAACTCCAAAGGGAAGGGGAAGACCCCCCTTTTCCCGCTCACTATGACGTTAAAGGGATGCGGGCGGCGGGAGCTGGCGCTGCCCAAGGGAGCAACCAAAGGTGTCGGCACCCCTTTGAGGGGCGGCAGGGGGGCTTCCTTCGTGCCCATAGGCTGCGGACGTCGGGGACCCCGGCCCGTTTTGGGGAGGCCGGAGCACTCCGCTTGCCGGGTCCCCCAGCGATGCTGCGGCGTGGAACGGGAGAGCCGCTCCCGCTCTCCTCCCCTACGGCCAAGTTCTCCTTGGCTTGGCGACGTTTGCGGTCAAGGCCAACGAAATGCCGCTGCCCTCGCCATGCCCGGGGCTGTCCGGGTCGGCTTCCGATGTGCCCTTCTGCCGGACTCTTCCCAGGCGTAGGGTGAAAAAGGAACCGCGGCTGGGAATAGATAGATAATAGGGGAGGGGAAAAAAAAAGGCAGATAGTTCATTAGTGCCTGCCCGACTATAGTGTCGGCAACTATTTCAGTGTAATTCTGTCCCATTTTGTCCAAAACACAGCTGTTTGTGGAAGAAGGAGCGACAGGTGCTGAAGTGCCCATATAAGACGTTACCGACCATACCTCTTTTCCAGTGTGACATTTTACTGGAGAGAATGTTTCCGTCTCCAACCAACAAAATTAGTATGGTTCTCTCTGCCCCGGCTGACATATATATAGAAATCACCTGGATGGAATTGTCAAGGTTATTCTCATCATCATCGTCATAATCTTCACCTTCCTCCTCCTCATCATCATCCAGCATCAATAATTTTTCACCATAGTAACCGGTCCGTGGTTTTAGAATAAAAATTAACTCCCCGAAAAGAAACTGCACGGTTTGGTTTCTTTATACGATTTTTCTTCCCCTACACAACACATCTGTGGATAAAGTCAGTTTCGACCTGAAAATTATGAAAATAGGCAAACTATCTTCGTTTCAGGTGGAGTGGGTCAAATTTTGCCAGCACAAGTCCGAAGTTTTCCAGTGCCAACTTTTATTTGCATTTTTGCAGTTCGCTGTCCCCCTCCTTCCCTCCCTACTCCAGGCACGTCTTTAAAAGCAGACGCACATTTAAATACCTATCCGAAGTGAACAAATGCTAGAAATAAAACATTCAAAGTGGCTACTCGTTCTCCTGGTTTCACGTTCAGCAGAGTTGCCCCAGCCGTGTGTCTAGCAGGGAAAAGGGCACTGAGGAGATACACATCTCTAACTCTTTCACTATAATAGACTTGCAGCACACTTACAGGAGTGTAAATACGTCCATTTTAGAATCTTAAATAATTATAAATAAGACGGTTCTGGGATGTAAATAATCGTTGAAAGGCTTAAGCTTCTCTTGTTAATCGAGATCAGCGTTTCTCGAAAGGACATTGACTGCCCCAACGTCTGTGCTGAACTTGCAGATGAAAGTGGTTAAAGCAACCAAACCCCGAGAAGATTTTTATCGCGTATTGAGCGGCATACAACGTTTTTGCACCAGTTCTGCAATTCCCAGTCCATCTGAGGGCATATTTCGTTGTGTCGCTGGGACAGCTGCGCCCATGTTCTGGGAGGAGGTGTTACCGGGACGTTCGGTAGAGCTCTTAGCCAAGACATCTTCAGTCAATAGGCAATTAACCTGAGACGAACATTTACACACCGAGGACACCTCGGAGCCCGGTTCTCCTTCGTTTCAGCTGCATTTCAGTCTAAGTGTCTTCGGTGGCCGTTTATTTTTCGGGGTTCGTTTTCAAACCCCAGCCCCCCGTATCCGCAGCGCACGTATTTCACCATCTCTCTCAGCACTTCCGAACTAAAGTACAGACGCCCGACAATGCAGAGGAAGAGACTGTCTCCTGCACGCCTGGAGCTGCGACGGGCGAGGGGCTCAGGCCCGCCGGAGAGGGAAGGGTCGAGCATCTCTTTGCCGCAGGGCTCGGCGGTGCCAAGGGGCAGGAGTCGCTCGGCTCAGGAGGAAGGCGGGGGACAGGCAACAAACCTGCCGGGAAACGCCTCTTCGGACTGGCATCTTCTCGGAAACGAGAGATGCCGAGGGAAGAGAGGAGATGAAAGCTCTTCCTGCGAGAGGTGTGGGGAGCCGGGAGCCCCTGGCAGCCGCCCCCCGCTCGCTCCCTAGTTCCACACTAGTCCTTTCCCTTCG